TGTACACAGCTTCACTCATAGGTGAATTATAAGGAGCGAATAGCGAGAAGCAGTTGATTTTCAAAAGAGATGTAACATGTTGTGTAGATGGTGGTAATGTGTGTTCCTTCACTCTCTGTCTATCCCTTATTCTAAACTGCTGTTCTCCTAACACTTCCTATTGGCTGCCTTATCACACACACACACCTCTGTGAACTCAAGCTAGCACAATGCTGACCCCATGTGGCCATTTATGGGACTGCAGTGGGAAAACATGCATTTTGGGACTTCGGTTTCTTTCTATAATCAATGATAATCCATAAATATGATAATCAAAGTATACTTTATTATCCAAAAACAGAAGACGTTCCAACATAAATGAAAATAGAAATGTCAAATTTGTTAGAAGTAAATTGTGTGATATTTTCCACAAGCCACAATTTCCTGGATAAAAAAAACACCAAGTGCACACAGTGCAAAATTGTTAACATAGACCATGAACATCTGAAACACCAAACCTGGGAGTATTTACAGAACATTAACTCACATAAAAAATAAAATTAAAAGTCAGTAAGGGAGGCTGCAATGCTTTGTGGATGCTGTAGTCTCTACTTTGTGGGTGCTGTAGTCTCTACTCACAGATCAGTGTCTCTTTGTCCTGTAACATCCTAATCAGCCGTGGTTCTGCTGTGGAATGAGACAGTGGAATGTGGGACAACAGGTCTCAGAACAGTCAGTCAGTCCTCAAAGCAGACAGACACCCAGGTCTCAGAACAGTCAGTCAGTCCTCTGAGCAGACAGAGACACAGGCATGGAGGCCAGAGGCAGACAGGTCTCAGAACAGTCAGTCAGTCCTCTGAGCAGACAGACACCCAGGCATGGAGGCCAGAGGCAGTCAGTTGGATGTCAGTTGGCTGTCAGTTGGCCATGTGATGATGAAGACAAGGTGTCTTCTTTACAGAAACAGAGATGGTCCAAAACCACACCAAGGTCTAAGATCCTCATCCTGGCCCAAATATGATGGGGGAGACACACTGGATACAGACTGAGGAGAGAAACCTGAGAATAAAAATGAACAGTCAGTTGGAATAGAGTGCTTTTTGTGGGGTTAAGACAGCAGCTAGCTCCATAATCATGCTTGATAATAATCAACACAAAGTTCAGGACAGACAGAGATCGCTACATTCAGAGGAGACCGTCACACAATTGTATTTCCGTGTGTGAATAGCTTAATCATACAACACTAACCAGAATGAGAAACAGATGGTGCACTTCTGGTTCAACGTTAGAAAGAGCATGCAGTACATCTTAGACACCATCACCATCAATCACCATGTCTCAATGGTCTACGCTTTTCTGTTGTCCAACAGCATTGAAACCCTGTGTGTTGGAATCTCAGTGGTTATTTTGTTTTGGTAGAAATAAGCTGTTGGTAGACTACAGTACAAGCTAAGACAATGACAGCGACTAACCTGCAGATATCTCATCCCCGGTGTTTGAAAGGCGGTGGCATCTACTGCTCCTGGCCTGGACCCATGGGTTGTAGAGATGGTGCATTCATCCAACTCTACCTGGGAGAACATTTATTTTGTTAGTAAAATAATTTAGATCAAAGACATATGAACAGACAGACAATTAGAGAGAGAGAGAGACGGAGAGAGAGAGAGAGAGACCCTAACCGTTAACCTGCAGTAATGTTGCAGTATGCCTGCATCATCATGTCTGAATGGTCTTCTGCTGTCTGTTGTCTAATATTTGTGGAACCCTGTAAGTAAAACCAAGCCTCTATCATTTATATATAAATATGTTTTGATAAAGTAGCTTATTGTATTATACGGAACATAATAACTGGGACTAGCCTTCTGATATGTCAGCGCCTGAGTTTGAATGGTCAGGTGGGCCCATTCCCCAAACTCCATCTGAAACATGTGCAAACTAAAAAGAGCACAGTCAGAGATTGCTACATTGAGAGGGGACAGTTATAGAGGTTACGACGAGAGACAGAGAGAGAATTAAAAACATTTTTTTAGGTCGAGGTCTTCTATTGTGAGCAGTGGACACAAGACTGAGATGACCACTCAGATGATCGTATTGCTGCTCAGGAGATGCTGCATACATTCTTCATGTCACTGGGATTGTTTACCTGTAGTGGAAGACAACACAATCTTAGAATAAGACTGCACTTTCAGACTCTGTTTAAGGGTGTGTGCGTTTATATATAATGTCTCTCAAACCTGACAGGTATTGAGGTATTTTATTGTGAGCAGTAGGAGCAGAACCAGTGGTGTAAAGTACTTCAGTAAAAATACTTTGAAGTACTACTTAAGTAGTTTTTTGGGGGTATCTGTACTTTACTATTTATATTTTTGACAACTTTTACTTCACTACATTCCTAAAGACAATAATGTACTTTTTACTCCATACATTTTCCCTTACACCCAAAAGTACTCCTGTTACATTTTGACAGGAAAATGGTCCAATTCACACACTTATCAAGAGAACATCCCTGGTCATCCCTACTGCCTCTGATCTGGCGGACTCACTAAACACAAATGCTTCATTTGTAAATTCATGTCTGAGTGTTGGAGTGTGCTCCTGGCTATAAGTACATTTAAAAAACACAAGAAAATTGGTGACGTCTGGTTTGCATAATACAAGGAATTAGAAATATTTATCCTTTTACTTTTGCCACTTAAGAATATTTTAGCAATTCCATTTACTTTTGATACTTAAGTATATTTAAAACCAAATACTTTTAGACTTTTACTCAAGTAGTATTTTAATGGGTGACTTTCACTTTTACTTGAGTCATTTTCTATTAAGGTATCTTTACTTTTACTCAAGTATGACATTTGAGTACTTTTTCCACCACTGAGCAGAACCCCAGCAGTCCTCAGATGACCGACCTCAGAGGAAACTGAATACAGATTCTTTACCTGTAGAGGGAGTAGAGCCGGGACCATAAACCTGAAAATTATCGACACCAACCATACCGATTACTTATCGCAGACATTACTAGAGAAATGTGATGTTATAAATGAAATAAGTTTGCTAATATAAGTGATTGTTAATGGGAGAATTGATGGCTACAACTATCAAACTATTAGAAGTAATTTAAAGGATAATAAATAAATAAAACTGTGGTGCACATTATTCTTATAGACGTATTGTTCTCGCATAAATTCAGGCAATTTATCGTGATATGTTTTTTTTGTCCAGCTCTAAAAAGGGAGACAACACATTACAAAACAACAGCTACTGCACCCCTGTGTGTTCTAAACTCACTGTTATGTGTGAAATAAAATGTCTCGTTAAAAAGTGATCAGAAGTTACTTACCTTTTTTGTTCCACAGCAGGTGAGCGATTACAGCATCCAATGTAAACAGAGAGTTGCACTTGTACCACAGTGGGAGTGCCCATTCACCAAGGACAGTTCTCCTTTATGGTTATTTCCAAAACGTCAGTGGTAAACTTGAACAATTTAGAAGTATCGTCTTCGGGAAAAACCACACCAAAAAAGGAAAAAGAAAAAACAAGGTCTTTTGTTTATTTATTTTTCCTTATGATGACTGTCATTTCTCACTGATTTGGTTTCCTATAGTGTAGATGTGTGAGCTTTGGCTCTCTCCCAAGGATCGACTGCCATGGGGAAAATTCACAATTCAAGTCCATCAAAATAAAAATTGGGGCGTTCATCACTTGAAAATGTCTCATAGGTTTTTCTGTCCAATTCCTGTAATGACTTCACAAGGTCCTGCTTCTTAACAGAAAACCTGATATCCATAGGAGTGATAAGGGCTTTGAAGGAAGCCAAGGGTCGTCTTGCCCAGTTCACCTTAACCACTTCCTTTCCCAACTAAAATGATTTTGATAGACAAATACAACAAAAAAAATCAACAAAAAAAGGCCTAAATGGGTCAAGTAGATAGACTCTCTCAAGACACGGTTGTTTCTCCTCTATCCTGTAATCTGGTTAGCATCACGGATGGGTTTGACCATTGTGAATTGTGCTGAATATGGCCTAAGTCAATACTGGAGGCAGCTCATAGTCCAAATTCTTAAAAAGGGTTGCTGGTATGAAGTTTAAATAAAGTAAAAGCATGAGTTGCTTCACATTCCCATCTACACATTGTACAATGTATACATCTCAGTCATTGCTGATACATTTGTCTAGAAGATTCAAAAGATACATCTGTTTTGAACACGGATGAAATCTTAAGCCTAGTATGTCAAACTGAAATGTTATTTATCAGACTAAACAACCTTTTTTTTCCCATTTAGTCATAATACAAATAGATCTGTGGTCTGGATAAGAGCGTCTGCTAAATTATGTAAATGTAAAGTAAATGTCTTAGTTTCACTACAATCTCATGTTTTTCTCTGTTCTCTTCATTACTGGATGTGTACTGGCTTTGCGAGGGCTACTTTTCTATATTATCTGCCGCCCTTTTCATGTTAATCCATCTCAACAGTAACTTCAGCAGGTAGGCAACATTTTTGTTTTCTGGGTGCATAGCTCGTCATTGGCTCTGCATCCCTAACCACACCTGTGGCACACTTTGAAACCCTGCCCACAACATTCTCAGCCACTTTCACCATCATTTTGGAAGGTTTGTCAGGCAATGTCTCAGTTGTGTCTGCTTTTCGTTTCAGACTGGGGGCTTTGACTTCTTCAGAGGTGTTGTTTTTTGAGATAAATGATCTCAAATGTGTCACAAGTTCTTCAAAGCTAAGTTTTATGCCAGCAACTGAATTGTTGAGAAGCCCTTTCTCATTTCTCATACAAAGGACATATTTCCGGAACTGAAGTTGGCAGATAACTGCAGAATACCTATCATCTTCATCTAATAAGGCCAACTGTTCATCCATATCATTCTCTTTCTCCCACAAACCGCCACACTTCTCTAACTCTCTGATCAAATCATGTTTCATCATGGCATAGTGTCCACCTGGATGGTGTTGTTCATGCACCATAGCTTTCTGTTTATCTACAACAAGTCTTTTCAGCAGGACTCTCACTTTTCCCAGTTGGGCTGATTGTTGAGGTCTGACCTGTAGGGCTGATTGTTGAGGTCTGACCTGTAGGGCTGATTGTTGAGGTCTGACCTGTAGGGCTGATTGTTGAGGTCTGACCTGTAGGGCTGATTGTTGAGGTCTGACCTGTAGGGCTGATTGTTGAGGTCTGACCTGTAGGGCTGATTGTTGAGGTCTGACCTGTAGGGCTGATTGTTGAGGTCTGGCTACTTCATTCTCAAGCCCGGAATCCATCTCTGACTTCACCGTCATTCCCTCAATGTTCTGATCAGTACGTTTCGGTTGCTCCTCAGTGGCAGCATGTCCAGGCTTCACAACTGCTTTAGTGCGGTTGCCTTTCACATTCTGGACACTTGAGCACTCCATTGCCAAAACGTTTTGTTGCTTAACTGCATGCTGAAATGCTTTCAGCACTGACATTCTTTTTTCTCTGTCCAAAGACTGAAGCCAATCCCAGGTGCGACTCCCCTTGAACATGACCATGGCCTCTAGGGCGATGCCAATGGCTCCTGATTTAGCCCTTTGTAGATGCTCCAAGAGGCCAACATCTCTTTGCAGGCTGGCATCTTTCTTTGGCATTGACCTCAGCTTCACTCTCAGCTCATCTGTTGGCAGAACATACCTGCAATGGTCAGGATTACTAGACAGCATCTTGCCACATACTCTCAGACAACTAGCAAGTAGCAATTCAACGATCTGAACTGTCAACTCATAAAAGTCTGTGTCTGTCCACATGGTAAGCCTGTCAAACACAAGGTCCTTGGGTACCTCAATGTCATCAAACAAGCGTACATTTCCTTCAACAACGTCTCTTCCATCTTCCTGCCACTCCTTGAGCTTGGTAACAAGGGTTTGGTATCGTGCTTCCATCTTCAATATGTTTCCCTTCAAAGTCAAGGCTCTCCAGAGAGGATCAATGATTATCTTAGAAATTAGACCCAGAGCTCTGAATCCAGCCTTGAACTGTGGAACCTCCAAATCAGCAGCAACTCCTTTGATCAAACTACTGTCCACTATGTAATCACTGGTAAACTCCACCAAATCATCATGGATGCTGTACACCCCTGCAGCATTATGACAGAGTGTGTCAAGTCTATTTCCTCTGAATGGAACCAAAGGAACCTCGTCAAATTCTCCTTTGCCGGTCAAAAAGGTTTTGAATTTCACAACCCTGTCATCATTTGCACGCCCTTTGGCTTGGACAGCATCACACACAGATCTCACCAAGCGCACTGTTCCAGACTCCAATTCTGTTGTCCCAAAGCTTGAGGAGCATCTAACTTCCTTATCTCCAAAAATCTGCTTTTCCCACAGTAGAAGAGTTGTTTTTGCCTGGTGAGCTAAGCCGTCAATCAAATGTAGGCCACAGAACAGCTCATTCACAAGGGACAGCATTACCTTTTCAGCATCACTATAGGCATGATATTGCTCAACCATGTGTGGCAAAATCTCTGATCTGTATTCAGTTAAGATTTGCTTGAATTTCCTCTCTGGGTCAGCCAGGTCACCAACACATATAATCAGTTTAGTAAAGATCTTCCTCTGGTCCACTTCATCACTCATGACTACATCCAGGATCATTTTCCTAAACATGTCTACTTGGCTGTCTTCTGGGTCAGAGGCTTGCTCTGTGAGCTCAGAGTGATGATCAGATTCCTCCTGTGGGTATATGTCAGCAGGTACCTTTATCTGTCTAAACTTTGATTTTTCATCAGTGCACTGTGTGACATTACATTTTCTTAGCTTTTTCATCAGTGCACTGTGTGACTTTGTAGAGATGGCATGCTGACGATATAGGCCTGCCCTTGTGGGTATTTCTGGGACTGACTTCATTGACCAGGGTTCTTTGACCTGACAAGTCGTCTGAGGCTTTGGAAACTTTTTGGCTGGTTCCTCTTTCTCATTGGCTGTTTTTTCCTCTTTCCTTTTCTTTACATCCAATCGCCTTCTTTCTGAAAAGTCTTTCAAACTTTGACACTTTGACACAAGTGATGCATTAGGCCGAGTAGTTCCCTTAGCAGCTGTTTTTTGGCAGGGTTTTTGTACTGGACTGGTGAACGTGAAGGGTTCCTTTAGGAGTTTCTCTTTCATATCTTTCCGTTTTGGTAACCGCTTTAGTCTGTTCCCAATATTTTCAGAGCGTAGCAATTTTTCGTTTTCCAAGTCAAGATGGAAATAGTGTTTTATGACACTAACAACAATCTCCTTAGATGACGCACATACTTCATTGGCAAAATCATGAATTTCAAGCATTACACCCGTAGTCAGTGAATACAAATCAAGTTTATTTTGTACTGCCAGTTTTGATTTCACATCAAGGTCTAGACCTATTCTCCTGCAGTAGGGGTATGGGTTATTCACGGTTCTCTCCATTGTAGACGACAAATGGGATTGTTCCAAGCCTCTTACAGCACCCTGCATTTCAGGGTGAAGATCAGACTCATTGTTAATGGAGACGACATTGAGTCCATTTGTCTGGCCTGGCGTTGCCATTTCGTCCATGTACAGTGTTTCTTCAGTTCCATTGCAGGGTGCATCCTCCTTTATCTGTGGCAGAGATTTGGGGTGAAAATCAGGCTCATCCTTTGTACAGATGTCTGTCGGCTCATTCTTCTGGCAAGGCATTGCCTTTTCACCGGTGTACAGTGTTGCAACGGTCTCAGAGTTTGTCTCCGCCTTGATATGCCGAAGAGGTAGGCCTAGATCAGACTCAACCTTTATGTCAATCTCAGTACCTCCATTCTTATGGACAGGTGTTGCCATTTCATCTGCCCCCTTTGTGACAGCAGTCTCACTAAAAATGGGTTCCTCCTTGACCTGCCCAAAAGATTTGGGATGAGGATCAGACTCATCTTTAAAGCAGACATCAGTAGGTCCTTTCTCTTTGCCAAGTGCTGCCGTTTCAACAGAGCACGACGTGACATCCATCTGATTAGGAATGGTTTCACTGGCATTCTGAAGAGTAACGTGCCCGTCATGATAAAACCAAGTCATTAAAAAGTTGTTCATCACCTCGTGAGCCTTCTGAAATTTGATGGCATTCTCTTCCTCCCTAGCCATCTGATATATACTTTGCCTAACTCGCTTGTTTCTCTCCAATTGCTTTTGTTGAGCAAGTTTCTGTCTCAATGTCTTTGATGAGTCCTTGTCTTGGGAAGCCTTTGCCAGTAAAGTTGCTTCAGAAATCGGTTTCGCTTTCTTCCGAAGATCAGGTAGTGTGAACACTTCAAGTGTGTACTTTCTATTGTTACATTTCTTCTTGATTGGCTTTAATCTCCCTGTAACAGCACTGACAAATTTCCAGCGTTGCTCACTTTGCAAACCGAGATCAAAGGTGTGTTCTAGAATATCAAACACAACATACTGGAAAGCTGTTGTTATCTTGCTGGCAAAGTTATGAATCTCAAACATAACGCCGTTCGTTAGTCAGAAACTTCAAGTGAAGTTTTTCTTTTGATCTCCCGTTGAGGTCTAGACCTATTTTCATGCAGTTTGGGTATAGATCCCTAAACTTTATGTGACTCACAGGACATGGTTTCTTGACGGGGGGCACACGCTTTTTACTTTGAGCAGGAGGATTGTTCAATGTTTTACAATTGGGTGGCAGGAAGACATATTGCTGCTGCACAGAAGCAGGTGGTCGCTGTAGTAGGGTTGGTTAGCCCAGGGAGGATGACAGTACTTTGGCTTGGAAGAAAACTTCCGTAAGACAATTGCTGATCAGTTGGCGACAGTGTTTGAGATTGGCTACAACCCTGTGTGGATGGGTTGGTTTTCCCTTCTACAGAGCCACTACTTGATGGATTTGATAGGATAAAGAACTGTTTTCCTCCTATGTTCAATGTTTGTAGTAGAGGTATACCAGTAAGTAGTTTATTTGGCTGAGAGCATGAGGGAGTATTTTGCGTTTTTGAACCACTAATGTTTCCGCCCTCTCCATGTGATTGTAGAATGGCTGCAATTTCATCAAGGTTAACAGGCGTTGTTTGATGTACATTCTGTAATCCAGGGTTTATGTTTGGCAGATGAACAACATCTACACTTTCTCTACCCTGAACACCAGTAGATGGAACATTTCACCTTGATATAATTACTTTCTTTTTCCAATGTAGGTGAGGAAACAGGGCAGTGTGGGTCGTTTACATATTGTGTCACTGTGAAATTTGGTTCATTTGTTGATTCTGTGGTAATCTCCCATTCACTTGCTACTGCTGTTCCTAACCAACCTGGCGTCTGCCCTCGAGGTTCATGAGGATCTGTTGCATATGGGTGATCTAGATGTTGGCCTACCTGGGATAAAGACCCTGGGAAAAGACCAAACATCTCATCTAGCTGTACATCTATTACATCCTTCTCAGAACAAAGCCAATCGCTGACTAGTGTTGATAAGGTTAAAGGAAAGGAAAAGTACAGTAAGTAGCCCTAAACATTTCCACTAAACTAAACTTTTAAGACACACTGAGCTTAAGTCCAGAGGGTAGCTAGAGGGAAATGGTGAATAATATGCCTCAATGGATCATATTTAAAGACCACTTAGATTCTAGATCTAATTACCAGCTAAGCAAACTCCCTAAAACCCAGTTGAGGTGAATGGTAGATAAATGTATTAGCTAATGAGTTTTAAAGTCATCTGATTTTGTACTGTAGGCTATAGCTAACGTTAGCCAAGTTAGGTCTACAACCAAAGAAGCGCTCATTTACTCACTTCTATCTATAAACATGAAAGCCAACCAGGTTAGTTAACAAACAACACAAACCAATTTTATAAAACGTGCTTGACTTCACTAAATGAAGTTAGCTCGCTGGCTAGTTCCTTCTAACGTTAGCAAAAACGAACAGAAATTGAATAATGTGTCCCTGAACAAAGGGGCGGGGGGGGTCAAAATCAAAAGTAACAGTCAGTATCTGGTGTGGCCACCAGCTGCATTAAGTACTGCAGTGCATTTCCTCCTCATGGACTGCACCAGATTTGCCAGTTCTTGCTGTGAGATGTTACCCCACTCTTCCACCAAGGCACCTACAAGTTCCTGGACATTTCTGGGGGGAATGGCCCTAACCCTCACCCTCCGATCCAACAGGTCCCAGACGTGCTCAATGGGATTGAGATCCGGGCTCTTCTCTGGCCATGGCAGAACACTGACATTCCTGTCTTGCAGGAAATCACGCACAGAACGAGCAGTATGGCTGGTGGCATCGTCATGCTGGAGGGTCGTGTCAGGATGATCCTGCAGGAAGGGTACCACATGAGGGAGGAGGATGTCTTCCCTGTAACGCACAGCGTTGAGATTGCCTACGATGACAACAAGCTCAGTCCGATGATGCTGTGACACACCGCCCCAAACCATGACGGACCCTCCACCTCCATCACCCCTGGTGAGACAAAACTGCGACTCGTCAGTGAAGAGCACTTTTTGCCAGTCCTGTCTGGTCCAGCGACGGTGGGTTTGTGCCCATAGGCGACGTTGTTGCCGGTGATGTCTGGTGAGGACCTGCCTTACAACAGACCTACAAGCCCTCAGTCCAGCCTCTCTCAGCCTATTGCGGACAGTCTGAGCACTGATGGAGGGATTGTGCGTTCCTGGTGTAACTCGGGCAGTTGTTGTTGCCATCCTGTACTTGTCCCGCAGGTGTGATGTTCGGATGTACCGATCCTGTGCAGGTGTTGTTACACGTGGTCTGCCACTGCGAGGACGATCAGCGGTCTGTCCTGTCTCCTTGTAGCGCTGTCTTAGGCGTCTCACAGTACGGACACTGCAATTTAATGCCCTGGCCACATCTGCAGTCCTCATGCCTCCTTGCAGCATGCCTAAGGCACGTTCACGCAGATGAGCAGGGACCCTGGGCATCTTTCTTTTGGCGTTTTTCAGAGTCAGTAGAAAGGCCTCTTTAGTGTCCTAAGTTTTCATAACTGTGACCTTAATTACCTACCGTCTGTAAGCTGTTAGTGTCTTAACGACCGTTCCACGGGTGCATGTTCATTAATTGTTTATGGTTCATTGAACAAACATGGGAAACAGTGTTTAAACCCTTTATAATGAAGATATGTGAAGTTATTTGGATTTTTACGAATTATCTTCGAAAGACAGGGTCCTGAAAAAGGGACGTTTCTTTTTTAGCTGAGTTTAGTTATCTAGCTAACTAGCTAGCGTACCTTTGTGCAAAGAAGTAGCCTTGACTTCCACCTCGTTTTAAAAAACACTCAAACTTGGTGAATCTGCTCCGTTGTCCACAAATTGATCTGTTCTCCAAACGCTTTCCGTGCATATTTGGAATCAATCCATGAATGTCGAGGGGCTGCGGCATCTTTATTACAGAAACTTGTAGAAATTGTGTCGTTTTCAAGAATTGGACCGTGGACCGGATTCAATGACGTGCTTTTCGTGCACCATTGCAGCTTGTTTTGATTGGTCCATATTCTTCTTCATTCGAGTTTTACAGAAGTACAGTGTCTCACTTTTAAATTCCATTACCGCCACTTGTCGTCCTGGTAGTTCTCAGGCGGAAATTATAGTGTGTTCTATTTCACTTCACTCTCTTGAGGTAGAGGCAGACAGTGCCATATAATAGAGATTCTAGTAGCTAACCCGATTTCCTGAAAACCTAGCAAACGTTAGCTACCTAGTTCGCTAACGTTTGCTTTATTACCTGGGTTAGTAATGCAAATAGAAATGAAACAAACAATGTGTGGGTCAATTGCGAGAGGACGAGGAGAAAGAGCTCAGCCTCAGACAGTATATGCTCAGTCTTTGTTGATGCTTAATCCGTTGTTGATATTCGGGGTAAAATGACTGGTCTCAAGATAAAAGATAATTTGCCTTTATTAAACTCGATCATTTTCCATCAATGGATGTCGTTTGAACTTGTTTTACTGCTATGATTAAGCAATAAGGCACGAGAGAGTATGGTATATGGCCAATTTACCACAGCTAAGGGCTGTTCTTAAGCATGACCCAAAGCACATTACCTGGATACAGCTGTTAGCCATGGTATATTGGCCATACACCATAAACCCCCAGGGTGCCATATTGCTATTATAAACTGGTTACCAACATAATTAGAACAGTAACAATACTTGTTTTGTCATACCCGTGGTATACGGCTTTCAGCCAATCAGAGATCAAGGTTCAAACCCCATTTATAATTAAGCAATAAGGCCCGAGGGGGTGTGGTATATGGGCAATGTACCAAGGCTAAGGGCTGTTCTTAAGCACGACGCAACGCAGAGTGCCTGGAAACAGCCCTTAGCTGTGGTATATTGGCAAAATACCACAAGCACCCAATGTGCCTTATTGCTATTATAAACTGGTTACCAACATAATTAGAGCAGTAAAAATACATGTTTTGTCATAACCGTGGTATACGGTCTAATATACCATGGCTTTCAGCCAATCAGCATTCAGGGCTCGAACCACCCAGTTTATAATTGTAAATAAATCCCTTTTGCTCATGTGCATAACTATAGATAAATCCAACAGGAGAGTTTGAGTGATGAAAGTTGGACAGATGATCTCATGCTCTGAGCAAGAAACACTTGGATGAACTTAAAAAAACGACTGTTAGGCTCTTTTCTGGCAATTGTGTGGTTATTGTGTGCCAGATGTTAAGACTACACACAGTTATAAATGGGCCATTTACGAGCTTGAGTTGCCATTTCAATATGCATAGGTTACAGACTAAAATCTGTGTTTATGATTGTAATTCAACTTTGCCATGGTTTGCTTAGCTAGATGCAGGCAACCCCTAACAGGACAAAATCTCATTTCAGATAGCCTACAGTAGCCATAGCAAGATGTAGGCAAAACGTAAACTGAACGATTTGGCAGCTTGCTTAGTTCAAATTGACAGACTAATTTATTCACCATGATTTCGAGGTAAGAAGAGCTTGTTTCCCAATAGCCTGCTGGAATAGGTTACTGAGGAAGGGGTCGTAATTTCAACCACTGAATTAAATATTAATAATATGTATGTGAACAGAATATGCTTGTCAACAACTGCTATTTTTTTTATTTACCTGTAGCCTAATCTGATTGACTGTTACCTTAATCTAATGCGTTCTAACAACTGATCCGCAATTGCGATAGAACTTTGATAACTTCCCATTGAATTAACTAAACATGGCCATTAATAATTGCATAATAACACAAGGCTACAACAACAATAAACGTAATAAATCCGTTTGCCAGGCCCAGGTAGGCTACACAAGTGACACAAATTGATTTGCAATGACTCCAGTGATGTCGTCATTTGTAACATATTTATTGTATAAAATGGTTACCTACAATGGCATATAAATTAATAGGCTACTTGATGGCCAACAGGTGCACATTTATCATTATCCACATTTAATGTCAGTTTCATTTGAGGACTTCTCCATTTCAGATTTCTACTCGCGCAGTCCCCGAGACCCAATA